AGCTCCGCTGGAGGTGAGTCACACACAGCCGCTGCGCTACAGTAAAGACCGGCCTTTTGATTGCTCTCATGAAAGAAATACCACAGTGCTGTGTCAAACACATGCTGCAGCCCTGGAGATGAAGAGAGACGACTGGGAGAGGTTCATCTCTGAACATTTGTCCCTTTTGGTCCCCGCACCTTCACTTAAAACTCCCCATTACTCTGGGCCTTCCCTGCACACAGAATCGCTGTGGACCGGTCTACACGTGGCGGCCAGTCAGGAGGATCAGAGGGAACCCAGAACAAAACCCCGTTGTGCATCTGTCAGGCAGTCCCCACCGTCCTGCCCTCCCTGCCATTATCCGACCACATAAGAATCGGAGGTGGAGCCCTGCTTTAACAGAGGAACAGTACAAGTGGGGCTGCCTCAAGCTTTAAAGGACCCCCCTCCCCCTACAACCCCCCAAAAGGGACAGATGATGAACAAGAAAGAAATGGGACTGAGGGTGTCACCGGGTGGCAATGAAGCATTCGATCCCTGTGGAGCACTGGCCAGAGATCAGACCGGACGATCCCCAAGAGCTTTGATCTCCATCTTTTATGTTCCCAAAGTGTCACACCTGCACAGCCATGTCTTTTCTTGATTCTTTGTCATTAAAGATGACCTTAGACATCAGGAGACGCCATCGTAGCCGCAGCAGCACAAACAAATGTGCAAACAATGGAAAATAGCTCATCTCTTCAAACTGTGTGTTTACTGAACTCTCTCACTTTTATTACATTACAGCAACAAACATTCAGCTCCAAATACCCTTTAGATTACAGAGCTGCCATTAGAAGTAGCCTAATTAATAACTTAAAAGGTGCAAAACAACCTCAGTGTAAATAGTGTGGTTCTTTGAAGGCTGTGGAGAGGTTAGTGAACAAACAGCATCAGGATGAGTAAGCAGCCTCTTACCTGAGAGGTAAGAGGGTTAAAAACAAAACCCAGACTGCATCTGTAAATATTGGTCATCCTTAGGGAAGTCAGGATCGGTCTAATAAGTAAAACTGGGCCGATATCAGCAGCAGATTCATTTCCATATAGTTGCTGATTTGGTTTCAGGCGATGGGAATGATGTGGTTTTCTTTGGTCATGTGACTGTGATGGAACTTATTTTGAGCGTTTGAACTGAATCAGAAAAACAGTTTCAGCACTGTGGTTGGTCTTACTGGGTATCAAAAGGTAAGAAAATATGTAAGAAATTGGGAAATATTGATCAATAGCCATAACTGTAATATTAATACTAATGGATACGGGTGCATCCATAGTTTTAGCAGATCACATTTCTGAATAACTGCTAGTATTGATGCAGAGATGCATCTAAAAGTTATTCTCAAGTATCAGAGTATAAGCACCTCTGCACTAAAGGCTTATTCTCCATGTAGAAACTTGGTAATAGCAACATCATCCTTTGATTTAGCAAGAACAAGGAAGCTGGTCACAGAAAAATGTACGACTAAACCCTTGTTTATAGTCGACAGTTTGGAATTATAAGCATTCTACACATCTTTTGATTTGGCCCATAAATATCACCACAATAAACAGATTAACCAAATCTTGGACATAAATGACCTACTACTACTACTACTACTACTACTAGGTGTAGTGTGGTGTTGTTAGCTTGCAGATTGCGCCCCACACTCCCCCGCTACAGTTAGCCAGAATATTAGGTACATGTGGGAAAGCAGCATGGAGTATAAAGGCTGATTTATACTCATAAACCAGGTCGCCTGCGTGTGTGTCACAGTGAATGCAGACACTCTGCTGCACCTCTCCAAAATTGTAGCTGACCGCAGACAGTGCCGCAGACAGGAGGCCTTGGATTGGTCAAATCTACATCCGCTCTATACTATCCGTATTTCCTGTTTGGTATCTTACCAGCTTGTTTTGTTTGTATGACCGCCATTGTGGAAAACGACTTGTGAAGTTTGACCAGCTAGAAGCAAGAACGCTGGGGCCCTTTTTCACCTGCATCCCCGCTCTTTTCATCCTCATGTCCCTGCGTTGTCGCACAAACTTGCCCCCTCGTCCTTGCGGCCTCTGGCATATCTAGACCCACTGCTAGTTGGTGATTGTTCCTCTTGCGTTGTGGCGTGGAATAACACAGCGCAGACCTTGCTTCAATATTGGGCATAAATCAAAAATATCAGCGACAAGTTCACTGTAGCACACTGCTGCAGGAGGATAACCATCTCTTAATGCTACGTTTACACCTCAAGCAGCAGAAGTTGCTAGTTTACATGCAAAGTCAATGGTTGCAGCTGAAGCAGCTCATTATGAGCTTCTGAGCATCTGACGCGCTTCAGAAGCAGCAGCTACTGGAGTTGGATAAATTTAACTTTGTTGCTCGAAGCGCCACATCAACCAATCAGAGAAGCTGATCTGGGAGCTGGCAGTGAGACAGACACAGCACTGCTGATGCAGATCACTATCACTCCTCTGAAACAGTTTATTAACGCCTAAATTAACTTAAAATGTTGAACCCTGTCGCCAAAATATGTTCGATTTTATTATTCTGGTGCCTGCAGTTTGGATTACGCACTTGAAAAATGATAACATCTACTTCCAGCCGCCAAGAACAGTAGTGGAAACAGTAGTTGATTCCTAGTGACAGCGCACTGTCGGTGTACGGGGGTCTGACAGGCTCCGACTTTCTCGCTTAAAACATACTAAAACTACTTTTTACGCACTGATCACAGCATATATAGCTGCACTTGTTACAGGTAAAGAAAGGATAGGGTAGCTCTGCCTAACAAGCATCAGACCGCGCAGCTAGGGCAGCAGAGATGCTTCAGCTGCGCATCAGAATTAAACTTCAAAAATGATGCAGCACACGCGTTTTTGCTGCCCCTGCTGCTTGTGGCGTGAACGTAGCATAAAAGCTGCCGACCACAGCTGGAACGGCTCAGTCAAAGTCCAGACCTACATCCAACTGAAAAACCATGGAAAGAGTTCAAAGCAACCGTAGATAAATGCTCTTTATTCAATCTGACTAAGCATCATAGCCAACATGGACGTTCTACAAAAGAGCCGCAGCTAAAGGTGGTTCTAGTCCCGAGTCTAAATGCGAACTAAAACCTTCAGCTTTTTATTTAAAGAAATACAGAAAAACCTATTTCATTTACTAACAATTGTACACTACCTCGGGTTAGTCTATCAGATCAAATTTACCACGATAACTGAAGTTTCTGGTTGCAGCGTGACAAAATGTTAAAAAGTTCAAGAGGTTATAATTTTGCAAAGTGTTTTCTTAGTATGGGGGGAGGTTAAAAGACACAAAGAGCTTTGAAAAGAGAACAAATCCTCTGAAGTGATACTTTGGCAAATGAAACAGGTCCTCCAGCAGCAAATTACAGAAGCTTCTCTGATCTTCATACCTGCATGGCTAGGCAGATACATTATCAGCGCTCTGACATTCCACTGATTCTACACAGGACCTTAACATCTTTTCATCTACCCAATCCTCCCTTCGAAGAAACCAGACCAGCTCAAAGAGGGGCCCACAGGTATTTCACCTGCGCATATTAGGGGGGGGGAAGCTGGGAATCATTGCAGCCAAAAATCTAAAACTATTTGATAAAGAGTCAAAAAATTGTTTTCATAAAAAAATAATCAGGAAAATTTAGATAAAATGAACTTTTTAATTCAATTAATTTTAGTTTATGATTCAGATCAGTTAAAATGATTTTCCTCTAGGGAAACCTAGCAGATTTGATCCAGTTATTAACTTCCAGCGTTCACTCCCACTGGCTGTGAAAGTGGAAAAGAAACATTAAGAAACTTTCTTGCAAGAGGAAAGGTAAAGTTAGTAGAAGCTCCTTTCACATATATAAAGATAAAATGTTCTCATTTTGCTTGATGAAAAAAAAATGCAATAAAACAGCTGCAAAATAACAAAAAAGGCCTGTCCTGTTACGCTAAGACGTACACTTGATTCACCTACAGTCTGAGGTCAATTTCCTGTTTACAGAAAACTAACCTGCTGCTAACCATTAAATGGGAGCAGATGTGGCGTCGGGTGACAAAGCATGTCACAGTAAAACTGGATTACAATAAAATTCAGCATTTTATATTAACAGTTTTCATGTTTTCAGTTTTCAGACAGCTATTAGCTTTCCCCACAGCACCTACATCCTTACCATAATGCTGAGCTTTCCAAAAGGTTGCAAACATTCCCAAAGTCAGACTGAAGCTTAGCTGCCCCCCATTAAGCCTTCCTGTTACCTGCTGAAAGTCTCGCTCTCTCTTAACCTCAACCGACTGAGGACATTTGAATAAATCGGCCTGCGTCTGAAATCTCTGATTTTAGAAAGCTCGTAAAAAAAATACCTACTATCAACTTTTGTTTTTAACTGTCTGTAACTCTTTGGTGAATAATGAATGGGTAGGTGGTTCTTATATCTATCCATTGAACAAGCGTTTTCCATCATTCCACACTATGAAGAAAATAATAAATAAACATGTATGAAGAATGCTGATATTGTATCGGGTCCATATCTGTATCGTATCAGAAATGAAAAGGCTGTATTTGGACACGTCTAATATCTAGAAAGGTAAAGCAGGTCAAATCAATGACCTAATTTCTCTAAATGTTCCTGTAAGGTCAAATATTGGTGGAAAAATTCTTCCTAGATTTATTACAATGGTTCTTGGATTATAGGTTAATGAAGAAGTATAAACCGTCACGCTGTCAGCAAATAAAAGGACACTAATGACACAGAATCCATTAAAAGTCTGCGTACCGTCGACACAGTAAGTGGAATTATCTGCGGCTAAACTACTGACTGCTCTAAATCTCTGCCTGTGGTGGTGATGGGCTGTTGGTCAACTGACTGGCTTAAAGATCCCCATAATAACCAATAATCCAGACCAAAGATTAGAGACCCAACATGCTGCTGTTAATCCACGCAGATTTTCCTTGTTTTGTCTCAATTTAGCTCCAACAATGGGAAACCCGGAAAGGCAGGGTTACTTACTCGGACAGCGGTGCTCTTTGCCTGAGCGCGCTGAGGCTGCACTCCTGGAGTCACCTGGTCCCTGGTCCCGCTTCCGTGTGCTCGGGCCACGGCTCCCGACGTGCCATTTGTGCAGACGCCACCGCCGGAGGCGGCCATCCGAGGTCTCTGCTTGATGCCATCCAAAAGACGCACCAGGAGGATGTTGCTGGGGAGTTCGTCCACAGCGCACTCCACCAACGTCCGGCACTCCGGGCAGCGCAGCTCGCCGCGCGAGCCCAGGATGCCCTGGAGACATCGACGGCAGAAAGTGTGCTGGCAGGGAAGGACCTTGGCGGAGGCGTCCAGGCGCTCCAGACATACGGGGCACTCAAGCAAATCCAGTAAAATGGACTCATCCATACTCTGTGTTGAGCCTCCACTTCAGAAGAGCATAATGCCGATAAGGTCTTTGTTCAGAAGCGGATCAGGGGGTTTTCACGTCACTGCCATACCTCGGCTATTGCCATGGCATTTGCATCAGCTGGGGAGAAAAAAAGGTCACAGGATGCAAATTAAATCGACTGCGTAACGAGAAATAGGTCATAGCATCTATATAAGACAGGACATATGGCTGGAGTCATGTGTCGTGTCATCAGCTAAGAAGTGGAACACCGTAAACAAACAAAAGGAAAACAAAAAAACAAATAGGAGAGTTTTCAGTATGTGTGCAACTACCACAAACTTATACATTACTGCCTTGTTCTCCTGCCCTCACACTAATGCAATTCTTAGTGTTTATAAGACATATGGCCTCATAACTGATGTCTGGAACCTTTGTAAAGGTTAAAATACAGTTTTAAGTAAAGATGAATTGAGATACAATGATTTTTAAAACAATGGATACAAAGTTGAAAAAAGATGGATAAATGAGACTAATGGTAAGATGAACAGATAAGGCCAGACTGGAGGATTTATAGAGGAATGGATGTAATGATGGATGAAAAGAAAAATGCATGAGCTGATGGATGAACAAAAGCATTAAAACAACGAGACACAGAATAAAAGCTATAAATACTTTTCTGAACTTTACCAAACCCTTTAAGAGAAAGTTACTGTTTTTAATCGCTTGCATACCTATTAGAAATGAGTCCCCCTGTCCCTCAGTGAGATCTAGAAGCACAAGATCTATATCCAGCCATTAAACAAAGATACTGCTATATGGCTGTACATCCTATTTTGGTATTTGACTGATTAGATGAGCCCTTGAATGATTTATTACCTACTGTAAATTAAGTAAAAAAAGGTAAAACGCTAAATGAAAAGTAAAAAGTAAAGTTAAAAAAAGTTAATAAGCCTAGTTAACAATTATATTTAGGTTTATACATTAAAAAATCTAAGCGCCAGTATCTATATTTATGTTGTACCTAAAAAAAGAAGCACTTTTGTTATTTTTCTTAATATATTCGGGCAATATGGCGTTTCAAGTTGCATTTTTGCCATCAAAATATTATTTTTCCAAACGTTGCAGAGTTAATAATGTCTTATCCTGGATTCCAATAACACTATTGGCTTAAACTGTCAATGGGTGCTCTATAAAAAAACTAAAATCACCAAAGATCAGAGTCAGATTTTTTCTGATTTCATAGAAAGCCTTCTAGAAACTATAAAGGAGTAAAAATATTTCAGTTTTAATGGGAGCGGAGGAGTAAAATGCTGTGATTTATGTTTTAGGAGGACAAACATCAGACCATCAAACATGCGATCAACAGAGAGAGCAAACAACCCGCTTCATTTCAGCCACAATGATTAACCTCCCCAGCCTGCTGCAGGAATATTTATGGAATAACCGAGAAAAACAACAATATTACGCAACATTTTTAGTTTTTACAACCTCCTGAGCTCAAGCTGTCAACTTCTCTGACACACACAGGAGTCAAGTAGGAAAATTAAAGGGGGGGAAACTGGTTTTAAACAGTTATGAAGGAAATATTTGCCTCGTTTTAAATAAATTACACTTTCAGGAGTTTTTCTAATAAGTCGCATTTTGATATAATAGTTTCTAAAAGTTAAAGAATCGATTTAAAATGACAGGAAACACTTTGAAACACGGCTCACCTCTCCTGGAACTGGATCCTGCTCGCTTCTTTTCCCACTTTCTGCCTTCTTGCTAACGCGAAGTTAGCAGCCGAGCCCCGAATATTTTACCCACTTTAGGGGAGTGTGTTACCCTGAGAAAACCCGCCGCCTTACCGGTACAGCTTTCATTCAGAAGGCCTTATGGTTGAAGGAAGAAATAAACCTCTGTCAGATACGAAAGGAAAACAAAGCGAGAGAGAAACACGGAGAAGACGAGAGAAGTCGAGCCGCCGCGCAGAGCGCCATGCTAGGAGCTCTGCTGCTGCCGCTGCTGCTGCTACGCTGGACTGTTGCTGCTCCTGGACTGGGAGGAGGGAGCGACTATGAGAGCTTCAAGGACGCCTCGGAGGTTAGACAACTCAATGAACACACGTTAAAACTACTATCTAGACCAGGGGTTTACAAACTTTTCAGCTTCTGACCCATATACAATATTTTCAGCAAAATTTAATAAAGGTGATTTTTCGTTGCACTGTACTTGTGGCAGTGTAATCACTATTAAAGTTGATTAAAGCTGAATTTATTGTATATGGGGAGTGGCAGCCTAGTAGTTAGGGCGTTAAGCTTGGAATCCAGAGGTTCTGAGTTCAAGCCCCACTCCCATGGTCTGACACTCTGGGTCCCTGAGCAAGACCTTTAACCCTGATCACTGCACCCCAGGCGCCAGACGATGGCAGCCCACTGCTCCCCAGGGGGATGGGTTAAATGCAGAGTTCATTTCGTTGCACTGTACTTGTGTGAGTGTAATGACAATAAAAGCAGAAAAAAATATACATATATATATTTGAATCAGCCTCAGCAATGCAACTACTTCACACACCCCCCATTTCAACATTAGTGTTTATTTAGTTAAGACCCAATACTAGCTGATCGAGCACCCATGAATATACCCCAACTTTGGGAATCAGTGATCTAGACCTCCTATTTCAGTTGCCAGGTCTGCAACTTCAAACCATTAATTTTTTTATTTGCGATTTAGATTATTAACACCTCATGTTATGCTACTCTCCCGATCTGCTCCCCATCTGCACCTACTCCATTGAACATGTATCTTGCACAGTGAGCTGCTCCTGTCTGCATTCTACTTCTTGCACTAAAACTCCTCTAATCGTGGCTAAAACCTTTGCTCATTGATCCCCTCAAGGCCTAGCGCTAAGAGTTACCTCTCTGGTATCAGATATAGCTATGAGAATCCAGATCAGGATGTAAGAAGGAAATCATGATGTATAAAATGCATTAAATTTGAGTCTACAAACTCTTTTCTCACAATAGATTTTTGGATTGTGGGAACAGTTTTTAGCCAGAGCTGTAGGCTTATCTACCCAAGAGTTAAAACAAAGAATCTTTGAAATTTTCAATAGAAAGAATCCAACATAGGCTTCGGTTAAAACATGTAAATAATAGGGGGAAATAAAAGCAATATTAATATAGATGAAATTCTTCAGTATTAGGTGGAATTTATCACCGGAGAGACAGACATAAGCATGAAGGTAGAATTAAGATTGATTGATTGATTGATTAATTGATTGATTGATTGATTGATTGATTGATTGATTGATTGATTGATTGATTGATTCATTCATTCATTCATTCATTCATTGATTCATTGACTTTATTGATCTCACAGTGGTGAAATTTACTCGTTACATCAGCTCAAATAGTCAAAGAAGAAAAATGTGCCAAAGGAAAAAAAAAGGTGCATGGGATATATATGTACAGTGCGTCCACATATGACAGCTTTTTCTTTTTTTATATAGTAGGATCAATATTGCACATATAGATGGATATTTATATTTATATATATAGTTATTGCACTGGATGTCAAACATAGTGAAAAAGGTTATTGCACAGGGTATCAAATAGTAAATTGCACATTATACATTGCACAAATCACTGCTGTTGTTGTGTCGCATTGTATTGTAACCCATTGCATAGTGGTTAGAAGTGGGTTGGATTAGTTACAGTAGTATGAGTTCAATCTTTGCAACATCAAACTACCGGTACTGCTTCATAATCTGTGTCCAATCTAAATAAATTTACTTGGCATTGTGTTAAATTCAAAGTTTTAAAATTTAAGAGAACAGTTTTTCTTCTGCAAAAACAAACCAATGTCACTGTTAAAGAATTAGCCCAAATATGAAATAATGCTAAAATAAATAAAAAAAAGTATTAAAGAAAGGAAAAATAACTTGACTTAGAAATACCAACATAATCCATGAGAAAAGTTGGAGCGTAGTTACAATTTCCGGGGTGTACCTGAAGGAGGCATGTAGTGGTGTAAAAAAAAAAAAAAAAAAAAAAAGAAGGGCGTGAGCTACAGCGACGTCCGCCTCCAGACACAATGGAAAATTTCTTTTTTATCCTTTATTTGTCTCTAGATGTTTACATCAATTCATATTTTACGACAGGATGCAGTCATTTGAACTTCCTCCCGCTCTGTCTATGAGTTTGATATTGTTGTTTATTTTTCTATTAAATGTTGTTATTAATCATACATTTAACCCAATATTCATTATTTGAATCTCTGAAGGTCTCAGCTCGCCTTCAAAATAAATTATATTTAATGAAAGCATGATTCCATGTCATATTTTATCTCTGTTAAAACGATATAATAAGTGATATGTTAAATCATCTTAGCAGTAAACAAATGATTATGTCCTTTTATTCTGTTGTGTGTTTGTTTATAAGGCATTTACAATGTCTCTGAGGTGTGGGTTTCACTGTTCTACAATGCCATCTATGTGTAGATATTTTTACTCTGCTGCTAAAACATATTTTGTTATATACATTACTGGTGTAAAGGATCATTAAGCTTGTCCAAACACACAGTTCTGGCTTCAATCATAAAGTTTCCTGCTACATCTTCATCAAAAGCTGTTTTGTTTGTTCTGTTTTGATACAATTCCAATGATTTCCAGTCAGGCTGAATATATATTGTAATATTATTTCATTCTGCATGTGATTTCTTGCAAATAGAGACAACAAAATTAAATCCAACAGGTTTTGGTAAATCATTTGTGCAGATCCCATTACATTTGATTTAAATCTACCTCAAGTGCAGCTCTTTTCTCTTACTGCTGGATATTATGCATCAATTCATGTCTAATTCTGAGAACATTCCCATCATGGGACCTAAGAGTCTGACCTAATGTATTAATGATGTAAAAAATGATTCACTTTTCACACATTTGCTCTTTTTTATATTTCTGCTTTTCTTTGTTTAATTTAAATGTTTCAGATAATCCAAATCATTTGTTGTTAAACTAAGAGAACTATAATAAATACAAAATTCAGTTTTCCAAGTA